AAGGAAGAAGGTTAGACATTGACTGTCGAATAAGATCATACGATTTTTCTGGAACATCAACAACTACTTTTTTTGCACGAGAAATGGAAGTCGAGCTTCAATGAAAAGTGTCAGAGACAGAATTGGAAAGGGGCCAATGAATGGATAAAACACAGTGGCGATCAGACCACTAAAACCAATGTTTATATAATAAACTTCTACTTTTTTTGTTAAAATTTTTGGTGAAAACTTTCTGTTTCTTCAAATTTATTTGAGAGAAATATTTTTTATGAATATATTCTACAAACATTAAGAATTTTATCTTTTTTTTGCTTAGAATCAACAAATTGTGTAATATAATAATTTAATTACAACTGTAATAATTTTTATTATATTCAATAATAAACCACTCTGTACTTTTACAATTAGCTGATTTTCGCTTGTACACGAGATAAGCTTGCAATAATTATTTCAGTTATTGTAGTATTTCAAGCAGACCTTGCTGCTTTAAATGGTGTGCTTTTAATTGGTTTTGAAAGCAGACAATTTTAGTGTTCGTATGATATTAGTTAAAATGTGAGTGTTGCTTTACCTGCTAAGCTAGTTTTAGTAAAATAAGTTATATAGTAAGTAATGATTGATATGTTTAGCCATTTTATTTGTCTCAAGTTTTTATTTGCTATATGCTAACTCTTAATTAGTCACATTTAAAAGAAGTAGGACTTGCTTGATCGCTTCTCATTGTTGTTTAAAATAAAACATATCGCACCTTACGAGAAACACTGACATAAGTGCAAATTTGTATATTGTTGAGAAAACAAAGCTTTGAGAGTTAGTTAACACCAAAAATTGAGACACAAATTACAATAGAAAGTACAAATTTGTTGTCCACGGTTTTAGACCTCTGTATACTGTAAGACGTAAAAGTTTTTTAGGATCTTTCTTAAACATCTCCTCTAAAGCTGCCTGAAAGTAGTAAAATTTGCAAATATGTTCTAGTTTCTTGAAAAATTTCTATTAATGGTGTAATGATTTTGTTACACTAAAAGAGGAGGTCAAAACTATAATGCAACAAAGACATACACGTTATTTAGCGAAATATCGAAGAGTTACAACTTGGCTTTGTGTCATCAGACAAAGTTCGAGTATTATAATCTAGCATATTACGGTAAAAATAGAAAACCTCTAAATTTTTTTAATGCATCGATTTGCTTGAAATTTTGTTGGTAGTTAAAAAGTTACTCAAAGATTAAAATCTACCCTATATCAATATGTGCTTTTTCTCTGGGGTTAGTTACCTCCTCACTTGAGAGGGACACGGGTCAACACTTTTGTAGTTGTTGAGTTATTTTAAATCACCACTTTACGGATGGGTAAAAAATTACACGAGTACACGGGTGAGGCCTTATATTTTTTTTTTGAAATTTTTTACCTTTTTTAAAACATATTTAGTCTAATAAAGAAATAACTAAAAACTAATAAAACACAAGTTTTTACTCCAAAACTCTTTACCAGCAAAAACGACTGTGACCTAAACTTGAACTTTTTTTTCCTAATTTTGGTTTGGACACTCTGCGCAACAGGTTTTGTTTGGTGAAAAGATCTGGATCTAGGCAACGTCTCAGTTAAAACCCGTGCTGCAATCTTTGGTTTAACCAAGTCAAGTCTTATATATTTCTCAAAGATTCTTCTGTCTTTGCTACAGGGTGCATCTGGGTTATTGTCTCTGGTTACAACAAAAGCATTAATTGCAGCCACATTTAGTGGTCTATAAAATGTTACCATTGTCCATTTTCTAGTTCCTCTGGCTGCATTGTATTTGAAGCTATTCTATTTACCACATCTACTCCACTTTTTTCAGGTTGTAGAAAGATATTATTTCTGGCTTTTAGGCATCTCCAGTTGACGAATTGATGTTGTAAATATCGCGATGCAAAGACTAATTTATGCCTGTCCAGTTCTTTATATTCCGTAGCCACGACATTTGTTTGCGACCTACTCATCTCTTGTCTTCAATCTTTTCCTGGATGATTAGTTAAGGGATTATTTTTTTCCTCTCAGAATATAGCCGAGGTATCCAATTTTTCATACTTTAATCAAATTGAGTAGTTCTCTCTCAGTATTTGCCTTTCTAAATAGCCAGACTAAAATGAAGATGGGCAGGACACATAGCCAGAATGACAGATAAACGATGGACAAACAGGTTATTTAAATGGAGGCCAAGGGAAGACAAGAGAAGCGTCGGTCGACCACCTACAAGATGGACTGACGATTTAAGAAGACTCAATAAAAACTGGATAAGAGCGGCGCAAGATAGACGGGGTTGGAAACATGAGGAAGAGGCCTATGTTCAGCAGTGGACTCTTAAGACTGGATAATGATTTGCCTTTCTTAAGACTTCCTTGTTTGTCACCCTATCTCTCCATTATATGCGGAATATTCTTCGCAACGTCCACATGTCGAAGGCCTCCAAGTTAATAATGGAAGGCATACCATTATAAATGCATTTTTATAGAATGGGGAACCACAGGATTTAGTTTGAGTTACTTTGAGAATTATCCTGATAGTATTTTAGTTCTTAATTGCTAGATGAAACTACATTATGTGTATTGGACGAGTGAGGCCTGTCAGTCCATGTAGCGATATATCTCGAAAGTATATTATTTCGTAAACATGCAGATCCTTAACCTTGAAAGGTACCTAGAATATCGCACTGTTTTAGCAAATAAATATAAAATAAATTCAAAAACAGAATTTTGCCTGAAATGCATGCCTCATTACGTGCCGCGGAAGGTTAAAAAGGGGTTTTTCAGACATTTCGAAAATACTGTCTTGAATTTAGAGTCGGATTTTTTTAAAACTAAACCTTCTAAACCAGTTACAGTAAACTTGCATAATATAATTTATGTATTGTTATGATATGTAAAATCAAGAAAAATATTGGTTTGCTTAAAATATTTCAAAGTTCAAAAAATTAAAATAATTCAGATAAGTCGAATAATAAACTACAAACATTTCGAAGAATGAAAGTCTTTTATCTTTGGATTACCTATATTGAACAAAACGTAAGATATGCATAAATTATTTTCTTTGTTAAAATATATTTGAGTGACGTGAATAAGCTTAAGTGAAATCCTAGACAATGGAAGCGGGTTTTCCAAATAAATTTGTGAAGTAATTAGGACAATAGAATAGATTTTAGAAAGATATGTTTTTGTTAGTTCATAAGAATTGGTAGAAAAAGATTAGTTTGTAAATAATGTTCGGAAATTTTATAATTGTAGGTAAAAATTTGTTTGTGTTATCGAAATGAAGAAATGGGAGATGTATGACGCGTTTTGATTGGATGAGATTGAAAAAGGTGGGATGGTTGGTTTGAGAATGAGACTTTAGTTAGTTTTTGAAGAAAAAAAATATAGTCAGTTGGTTTCCAAGGGTGCAAGGCGAACGGCCGTTATTCTCGGATAGTTTCCCAGAGGTAGGAAGCAGTAGCAGTGAAAGTTTGTGAGTTTTCGTATAGTTAGTGTATCTGACAGAAGCTGATCCAGTAAAAGATTGTAAGTCATATTTTTCTACTTATATTCCAAGAGTCACTGTTCAGGCCAACGAGAGATTCAGTTTATCGTAAAGAGAAGATATTCCAAGAGTCATTTTTCACTCAGGCCAACGAGAGATTCAGTTTATCGAGAGGAGAAGAGGCTAGCATAATTTGAACGATTCGTGCATTTGAAGGAGATCATTAAGGACGATAAACTTGCAACAATTTGTTGTAAGATTGCTGTTACTAGGAGCTGCTAAGAATAGATAGTGTAGGCTACAAGGAACAAGGATTTGGACCACTCATCATCGTAGAGAGACAGTTTTGTTTTCTGCAGTTTTTCTTTTATTGATAACACAATTTTTACAATTACTTTAGAAAAGATATAAATATTTTGATTAGGAGATTTAGAATAATAATTGGGATTTTGAGATTTTAACTAATATTGTTTGTACCATTAATTTTGAAGGTTCACGTACGTAGAACAAAATTTTGAGAATCATTATATGAGATATTGTTTATTGAAAACATTTGAGTGTGAATTTTATTTCATTATTTTTATTTCAATATGTAGTGTTATATCATATATGTTTTTTTTATTATTCCGGTATTCTTTGGAACTTACTTTTCACATGTAAAGCATAGATATTGAAGCACGAATATAACCCTGATAAGAGAATTAAAAAGTGTGATAGAATCATAATCATATCATTTAAATAATTTTAATTAATTAATTAATTAATTAATTAGCTAATTAATTGCTTGGCACACTAAGACTTTGAATATCACAATAGTATATACCTGAAGTAAATTCTAAATGGAAAACGACCAATTTCAACCATGGTTGTTTTTTTTTGGCGAAGAAGATGGCAGAACCTAAAATGCGGATCATAAGCAATTTCTTTGACCACAAAGAAATTACCAACAAAAATTCATGAATATTTACATATAATTAACTGTAAAATAAGGGTTTAGAACAACTTGAGCCTTATTTCACTTTACAGGATTTTAGAACAAACAAAACATTTTATGAAGCACGACTTTTTCCCTAAAAATAAATATAGAAAATTTTCGAGTTAGGCACACTATCCGTGGACATACTGTATGCGATTTATGTGTATATAAAGTTGTAAGTAAATTTAAATAAAAAATCGATAGTCCGATTATCAAAGCGTTTTATAAGACTGCTAATTAATTCGACGTGTTTCCGATTAAAATTCAATATTAAAATTTTTTAAGTGATTCATTTTTATATTAACCAGATAATTCGCATATTTGCATAATGCTATTATCTACAACGCTTGTAGTGCTCGTTTTAAGTGCCTTCATACAGTTATCCAAAAATAATAAGTGAAGATAATTTTTTTGTGCCTTAATGATGAGATTTTTTAATTACTAATTTTTAAATAAACAAAGGTCAAGTTGAAAATTTGATGATGAGTTTTAAAAATATATATTCTCAGTTTCTGGTTGTTAGCCAAACAAATCAGATGTGATTATGAGATACAGCTGTGTCCGAACATTTACGATAAACTTTTAGGTTAGATTTTTGTTAAAGTAAGTATTTTTTTAATAAATTTCTTATTTTACGAATTTATTTCATTCAACGTTGGATTATGTTGTCATCAAAATCTTGTTATTTTTGTATTTTTTTTTATATAACGTACAGGGTTTCTCATTATATTTTGACCCTCCACTTATTTTCCTTAATTTCGGGAATACAAAAAAAAAGAGTCAAATAAAAGTTGTATTATTTTATCTGTACCGACCAACAGTATAGCAACGTATCAAATTTTGTATACAGGAAGTGCCCAATAAAATTCATCTTCAATATTTCAAATGGGACACCCTGTATTTTTTTACAGTTTTGAGTAGCCCTCCATTTTCTGATTACAAATATATAACATAGTGTAGCATTAGTTTTGTTCTATAATGGCGTATGGTACTACTATACTATACTAAGATAAGAAAAAAATATATTTAGAAAAAATATGTTCACAAAATCAATAAAATTAATGACTTACTATACTACATTTAATATTACAGTAGATGCTCAAAGTGATATCTTCGTGTCTCAAATTTTCTAATGCGTCAGATATTGTGTTATTATAACCGTTTAAATTTTCAAGTTCCGCTCGAACTTTTGCCGTGATAGTGTTAATATTTGTATTTAAATCAAAATACACTTTTTCGTTTAATTGCCGATCCACACATTAAATTGATTATTTATATGTTCTTGAACGGCTACGATATTATGTAGCGGTGCTCCATCTTGTTGCCATATCATACTATTTCTTCTTCTTCTTATTAAGGTGCCGTGAATTTCTGCGTAGGCGTCCACCGTACATCGTCTTGTCAGGTGAGATGTTAAATATTCAGGATTAAATGATACTGTTTTTTAGCAGCATTGCGAAGCATTTCATAGCTGTGGATTCCTGTTCATTGTCGAATATTGCGCAGCCATGACATTTTTTTACGTCACAGACCTCTCCTACCCTCTATCTTCCCTTCAAGTATCATACTATTTACCTAATTAATTTAGTGTATACTTTTGATTTAGTAACTCATCTACTTCTGTAATGATTTTGTTTTTTCGTTTTCTATTATTTTTCTGTTCCCACGAATACCTATTTCTTCTATTAAAAATGCCTGAAGTTAAAAAATTTGATTCATCTGTCCATAAAATGTTATAAAAATAATTAGGATCACTGTTCAAATTTGTAAGCATGTCTTGACGTAACTGTAAACGCTTTCTCTTATGAACATCGGTAAGTTCTTGTACCGGTATGATTTTGTAAGGCTTATACTTGTGCTTTTTGAAAACTCTATGTATCGTCGCACAGTAAAGCAGAGTATTAAGATTTTCACCATCATTTCCTACGATAGTACTACTTATCTTCCGTTCAAACATTTTTTCATTTATGACATTACGATAATTATATAAAAATGTATTTGCAGAAGGAGTCTGTCGATCTGGATAAATCAGCCTATATTCTCTTCTTACCGCTTGCTTGTTTTTATTATCTTTTACATAAATTGAGAATATATCTACTTTTTAATATGCAGTATAACCCATTTCGGTATCAGGACTAACAGTTTATAATAAATTAATAATTGTTTCATTTTGAAATGTCAGTTGCATAGTCACCTATGGTTACCCTTTTGTAGTACCGTACTACAAAAGGGTAACATTGTATAACATTGTGCTACACAATGTTATATATTGATAATCATGAAATGCAGGGCTACTCAAAACTATAAAAAAATACAGGGTGTCCCATTTGAAATATTGAAGATGCATTTTATTGGGCACTCCCTGTATACAAAATTTGGTCTGTTGCTACACTGTTGGTCGGTACAGATAAAATAATACACCTTTTTTTTTAAACTTTTTTTGTATTCCCGAAATTAAGGAAAATAAGTGGGGGTCAAAATATAATGAGAAATCCGGTACATACGATGGAGAACAGGAGTTCTGAGAAGTTCCTCGAACTCTTTCTAATAATTGCAAAATACTGAGATATATTTCATACACATTTATGACAAATGAATGAATTGAAATAAAAAAAGTATTTTAAAAATTTGTAAAGCCTGGTGTAAACACCCATCCATCTCGAGAGAGCTGAGGCAATATGCAGAGTCCCTGCATGCCTGCATTTGAAGCTAAATTTGTTACACTGTATACGAGGCCCTTCACATGTTAGTTGACCGAGGGTTAGATTGAAAAGAACATTAAATTTTAGAAAACAAAAACAAAAGTAATGAAAACGATTAATTAAACAGAATAACAACAATTAAAAAAACGCATGCAATATGTAATATCGACAAAAAAATACAAAAAAATTTTACCACTAAGTGACATCCCCTTTAATTTCAACTACATCCAAAAGTCATGAAGTCAGAGTTTTTAACAAGTTCTGACACAATTCCGGTGTAATAAATCCCATATTTCTTGTCATTTTTCTTGAATTTGACCTTTTCACTCTTTTCCTTAAACTCTTTTAAATATTCGGTAAAAGAGATTCTAAAATCTTCAAATATGTGTCCTTATTTACCTTTCCCACACTTTTAGACGATATGCTACCCGTTAGAAGTCCGGATATAAAGCTTAATTGTTCCTGCAAATAACGCGACTCATATTGTCTCCAACAAATACTTCAATCTGGACTTATCACTTCGTTGTATTCGAAATAAATTTTCAGTAAATCCGTTGTGCTGAAGAAAATTAAACTCCAAAATGGTCATTTCCTGATGTATAACTAGATGCAATTGAAAAGGAAAATAGTTGAATCACTTGAACAAACTTTAGGGGTCAATATTTTGACATCGTGGCCGTAAAAAACTCATCCCTATTTTAAAATATTGTAAGTTACTGTTTAATCTTCTTATTTATCTTTCCTTGGTACACATTTTTTTATTAAGTAAAAAGCAATACCATAAACAATCATTAATAAGGAGCAGCCGCGCCCTACAATTTTTGTTTTAGTCATTTTTCCTTGATTAGTTAGTGCTTTCAGTCCCTTTACTATCTTCGTTACATTAACGCTGTTTTCGATATTTTAATATTTTGTAAGTAGTTTTAAATTATTTTCCTTTGTTATTTTTTAAATGCTTGTCTACAATCTCGGTGTGGTGATGGAAATGTTGTATAATCATTTTTAGTGTGCGAATTCTTTTTATAGGGACATACAGGGAACTTGGTAACGTTTTGAAACATTGATTGTAATAAAAAAAAAATTATTTGAAATCCTTTATAAAAGGTATATAATAAAATGCCGAAACAGCTATCACAAAGATATTGCAAAACGTTTTCGGATTAATAAATCCATCATCAGTGCAAACGAGGTATACATGCTATGAGCCACCAAAATATATGGGTCCAAACCCTTTAAATCATATAAATTTACATTTGTGGTGGCTCATAGCATGTATACCTCGTTTGCACTGATGATGGATTTATTAATCCGAAAACGTTTTGCAATATCTTTGTGATAGCCCGTTTGGGCATTTTATTATATACCTTTTATAAAGGATTTGAAGTACATTTTTTGTGATATATGGTATACAGCCAGCTACAGGAACTTAGTTTCCTCGTGGTTTTTTTTTATTGATTGTAATGATAATTACATTTTAATTAAAAACATTTTATTTTTCGATTTCCATTGCGGAAACCGTTCTCAAGAAAGATCATTTAAGAATTAGTTAAAAATAGTGTGTAACCACCAAAGTTGTCGACAAGGTAAAAGTGTTTGTGTATGTGTATTGTGTGTTGAATATGTATTGTGTATGATTGATATTGATGTGTCTCAGAGTTTTGTTAATACATTATTGTTATTGACTCCTTTTTTCAGAATAAGCAATCAAAGCCGACTACGTTCTACACAGTTTTCTTTATTAACATTAGAAAGTATGGCTTAGAATACCTAACTAGAAAGCCCGTTCTTAAATCAATAAAAACCCAGTTTATTGAAATGATATTAACTGTATTACAGAATCTGATTTTATTCTTTAGTTTCATTATTGAAACATTTGGAACGCCTTATGATTGCAGTTTTTGGCATTTGTCACACATTGCCCTGTTACAGCCGTGACAATGATTGGAAGTACGATTTTCTTTACAAACTATTTTCTTATATTCTTATATCTTATTGATATTTTTTTCGTTTTTGAATAGTAACAGGGCTGGTTGTTGGTAGAACTGGTGCTGCTGAGTCTATTATCTACCTAAAATACTCCAAAATCGACTCTCTACTCTAAAATAAACTAACGGTGACTGAGTCTACTTCCAGCTACTTCTTTATAAATAATCCATGCATTTGTAACTTCTAAGTTAGGCATGTTAAAGAACACGTAAAGACACGCCATTTGGTCCACTACATCAACCCCATATTTGGTTTAATTAATAAAACCTTACTGTTTTAGAAACTTTAGTTCATCGACAGCAACATTCACTGGTGACTCTTTAACGAGTACGCAGTAAGTGTTATTTTTTTCTTCGCTCTGAGATATACCTATAAGTAACATATAATTCTCTATTTTCATGATTTACGCTGAGAACAACTTCCTGTCTCTTTCGATTCAAAGTAATCACAAGACTTGTTGATTTCTTTGCAATTGCTTGGTCGATTTTATCTATGTTTTTGTCTTTACGTTTTTGCTTTTACTCAGTTGATTTCCCATTATCCGCAAAACAAACGTGTTTACCAATACTTGTATTAGAACGTCCTTTCGACGTTGTCCGATACCTAAACACTATCTCTTCCTATCTTCGCAGTCGTTTGTTGTTAAATTTCTTTCGCTCATGGACTTGTTTACGCCGTGTTGCCATTCTAATCTGGGTCTTTCTCTTTTCCGTCGACCTATCAGTTGCCATTCTACTACTTTTTTGGGGAGTCTTATTGCTGGCATCCGTTGAACATCCCATACCACCTAAATTGTTATTTCTCTATATCTCGAGTTATATTTCCTTCTATTCCCATACGTTGTTTTATTACATCATTTCTGATTCGGTCTTCTCTGGAAATACCTAAAGATCTTCTCATTGCATCCATCTCTAC